TCTTTTTTTTTTTTTTTTTTTTTGGATACCTTTAGCCTTTTCTTATTTTTCTTAAGTCTAGTCTTATCTCTACTCCCAGAGACTACATCTCCAGAGCAACAGGATGCTGCTGGACTTGAAAGAAAGGTAGGTCAGGGCTTTGTGGAGATGGCAGTAGGAAGAAGGGGTGGGGCCACACAACACTATAGAGGAGGCTAAGGCGGGGAGGTGGGGAGGTGGGAAGAAGGGTAGACATGATCACCACAAATGCATGTGTGGAAATGTCACAGTGAAACCCATTAATTTGTGCAATGAATGTGCACCCATAGTTGTAATTTTAAATAAATAATTTTAAATAAAATCTCTAGCAGATGAGTATTCCTGAGAAATTTTTCTCAAGCCCTAGAAATTACATCAAAAGTAATATTGAAATACAGAGTGCTATGTTTTTCTTTTTTGTGGTATTGGGGATTGAACCCACAGCCTTTACACTGAGTTACATCCCAATCCATTTTTATTTTGAAACAGTCTTCCTAAGTCTCTTAGTCTGGGCTCAAACTTGTGATGATTCTCCTGCCTCAGCCTCCCAGAATGCTGGGATTACATGTACCCCCATACCCATATAACTTGCTTTTTCTTTTATCTGTAAGAGAGGCATTTTTAACTATATCACATTTACTTGAAAAAATCCAATATTTGGATATAATTATGACAGTGTATCACTGATTGACATCATTACTAATTCTTTTGCCTTCTGACCAAATAGGTACACATTTTGTTTTTTGATCACTCACCCAAGAGGTGACCATGTGTGGTTGTGACTACGAATGGAATCTCTAAGACCAGGCTACCTGGAAATGAATCCTAGTTACTCTAATCACTTGCTGTGGGTCTTTGGGTGAGTTACCGTCCCTCTCTGTGTTACTTATTTGAAAAATTGGATAATATCTTCCCCATTCAATTACTGTGGGGACTAAATGAGTTAATCTATAGACAATGGCTAGAAGTCACCTGGCATATGGCCCTCCATAAATGTGAGCCAGTCATCCTCTCTGCCTTCTTACCTTCTCTCTCTGAATTGCTTTCATTTTTTGGAGCTCAGCTTCTTCAGCTTCCTTCTTGAGTCTTATAGATTCTTCTCTTTTCAACTAAATTGTATTGAGAGTATAGAGGACAAAATACAGTTACCATTTTTGTCTGAAATTCTGGAACACAAAATTATGATGAAAGGCAAATTATAGTATTGTTTGTGCTGTCCCTCACCAAGATTATAGGTTGTTCCATCAAGCTACTCAGATCACAGAGAATGGCCAGGCTACATCTCCAGCCTATTAAATTTCCCTGCTTCTTTCTTCCCGTGTCCAGGTGTGAGTCCGTCTCCCTCCATGTGGGTGCAGGTGTGTCTCAATCCCTCTCTCTCCCTATCTATGGGGGGGGTAATGTGTGACTATGCATGTGCATGCCTGTGTGTGAGGGGGAAAGGGCGATAATGTTTCCTGATTATAAAATTCATGGTGTTCATTATAAAAATCACCAGATATTTTAAATTTTCTTTGTATTTTTTCATGACTAGCGAGAGGTAAGCAAAATCATACTCTGGGAACCAAAATATTCAGAACAGAGTACACTGAAACTACATTAAACCACTGTTAACTTAAACCATGGAGGGGTGAAGAGGTAAAATCCCTTAGTTGTAGGTGGTGCTAATATATAACTTGAATGAGGATTTAACTTATTTCACTCTTCACTTCTCAGCTCCTGGCTTCTTCAATTTTGAGAGGTGCTTCATTTGAAGTTGGTTTAAAGATCTTAGGCTTTTGGTAAAGTTACTATGTTATTTCATAGTTACTTATAAGTGCTGGTACTCAAAATCCTTGTCAAAATTAAACTAAAAGAGATGGATTCTGACCTTTTGCTGGTATTTAGATTGTATCAGTTGGAGTTGTTGCCTCTGCCTGACTTCAAACTCTGACTGGCTTCCACCTAATGAAAAACAAAAAAAGCCATGAGGGTAAAACATGAATATTAAGCTAAAATGTCAGCCATCAAGGACTAATTAATACATGATAAATCTATAGCATGAGTTTAACATTTTATACACCTGGAAAAAAGAACATAACCAATTATCTTTAATAAGACCTTAAAAATGGTAATTGCTTAAAAGAGAAACAGAACTTGACAAAAAGATGAGGCCATATATTTTTTAAAAAGGATACTACAAAGGTTTCTAATTAGTAGGATTAAAGTTTATAGTTAGATTGAAATCATAACTGAAGAACCATGCTAAAGGGGGGAAAAAAGTACCGCCTGTCTTAGAATTCTAGAAGATTCTTCCGGCTTTAGAATGGCAATTCCTTAACCAAGAAAAATAATCAATGATGCCTCAATTGCTTTTCTTCCTCAATTTCTATTGCCCTATATTCAAATAACAACACTCAGGAAGCTATCATTAAGTCTTATTTCTAGAGAAATATGTAGTCTTTATAACACAGCATATAGAGTACAATAGGAGTATTCTACCTACTAATTATCCATCCATAAAATGTATTGTTCTCTAGGTATCCAAGGAAAACATGGAGATAAGAGTATTTTCTTATCCTCTCTTAAACCAAAATGTAATCTGGGGGCATAAATCATCATAAATTAACAATCATCCAAGAATTGTTTCAGGCTGAAGATGTAGCTTAAGAGTAGATCATTTGTCTAGTTATATTCAAGGTCCTAGGTTCAGTCCCCCCATCACACAACCACACACACAGGCGCGCGTGCACACAGACACACACACACATACATAATTTAGCAATTTCTTAGTGTTTCTGCAAGGTTGGTGTTTATATTAGAAAGGTTCCTTTGAAATAATTCTCTGGTGCTTTGGTCAGTAAAAGTGTCCGATTCACTGTCACAGAGTATATATTAAAACAATTTGTATTTGCTGTAGCTTTTTAAAATTGACTAATAAAGACACACAATAGAGGCTCTTCTTCCAAGTTTCAAAAGATGCTCAAGGCTCACATACAGCCTATCAATCATTCTTAAGGAGGGCAGAAGAGAAACAGCAGGAAATATTCAAGTTTTTATCTATTGTTCTAAGTACATTCAGTATTGCCTACAACTCTTCCGTTATTTTAAAACATAGAGAAGTAGGGAGGAGTTGAGAATGAAAAGTAATGGAGAAGTCAGAAGTCTAAGTATTTGTTTTGTTTAAAATTCATCATTTTAAAACATTGCTCCAAATTTCAAGTGAGGTGCCTGCACCCCCAAGACCAATCTGCAAGTAAACAACTGAAAACTGGTTTGGAGAATCTTCACTAGCAACTACCTTCAACCTGTAAAAAGGGCTAAATAGTTAAAAGACAGGTAGAAATCTGAGGAAATATGTCTTTCTGAGTTCTATCTCCTCTGTGTGTGAGAAAGGAAAAAAACAATCTCCACTTAAAGCTGAGCAAGAGAGCTTTAACAAAGATCACGTGGAGACCTTACCCTGAATCCCTAAGTGTATGAGAAATGAATAGAAAAATCAGAGCATAAAGGCAGTAAAGAAAGCTGTTGTCGGCTGGCTGCTTAGATAGGTTCTCAAAAAGAGGTGATTGCATTGAAAATAGCCTGTGTTCCCAGAGTCTGTGGTAAGAAAAGATGTGTCAGTGTTGCCTAAGTGGACTTATGAGAGAGAATGCAAATTTAAAGGTATCTTAGAGGAACTCATTGTCTTAGTTACTTTCTCATTGCTGGGATAAAATACCTGACACAAACAATTAAAAGAGAGAAGGTTTATTTTGGCTCACAGTTTCTAAAAGTTTCAGTCCATAGTTGGCTGGCTCCAAGGCAGGGCAGAGAAAAATCAGCTCATGGCAAGGCAAGTAGGAAGCAAGGTATTCTTCCAGCCCACACCCACAGTGACTCACCTTTTCTCATAAGGCTTCACCTCCTAACATTACACCCAGGTATAAATGCATCAGTGGACTAATCAAATATCACACATCCACGATCCAGTCACCTCCCAAAGCCCCACCTATAAGAACATGAGGCTTTGGGAGGATATCTAGATATAAGCCATAACACTCAGCTAGGACATCACGTGTGCAACAATACGTCCCACACAGAATCAACCAAGAGCCAACAGTAGGCCAAGCACTGCCAATCCAAGAATCCATCATTTCTATCAGGGCAATCAAGCAAGGAACAGATGGTAGTGAGGGAGGGACCCTGAAGAACTCAGAGAACCCCAGAAGGGAGAGTGAACACACCGCAGCATGTACCTAGCATTACTATCTTATCGCCTCTTCCCCCTTTGACCCTGTAGAAGTCAAGGAGTCATAATCTGGAAAAAAAAATGTCCAGCCACGTCCACCTTACTTGTTAGCTTCCTCCCTGAAACAGTCCTGCGCTGGAGTAGGGGACCTTTAGTCTCCTTTAGTAAAGCATTTTGACCAGTACTGAGGACTGAACTTCATTGAAATGAGACTGTATTATGCCTAGAATTCGCTGGATAGCTTTATTATTTGAGAAAATCCAAAAAGGTCTAATCTCTCATCATTCAAAGGACACGGGAAAAACTAATCCCACACAGCTAGTTTAAGGGGCATGATCAGGAAGGACTTTTCTAGCCAAAAGGCCGAGAAGCTATAGGACTGTTTGTTTGTTTGTTTGTTTTTGTTTTTGTTTTTTTTCAGCTTTGAGTTTATTGATACATTTTAGGGATACAGTACATTTACATTCTTTGTTGGGATCTTGTACCTCTACATGACAAGTCTTGGTTCTCATTTTTTTCCCTTGTCCCATCCCTCAAGTCTGGTTAATTCAGCACAAAAGTGACATTTGAGCTTAACTCCTTCCAAAAAAAAGTGTTCACAAAACTTTGCTTCTGTTCTTGAATTCCACATTGGGTAACAAACAAGAATGCAGCCATCTTTCCCAGAATTGTGGAGCATACCGTATTGTTTGTGAACAGAGGTACTACTGCACTGCAGTATTTTCATGATAATATTATTATTTTCACACAGCAAAGGATTTCCAAATCAGCTAACTTTTACCTATATGGGGAGGAGGGTCTCTAAGACTTTCATGACAATAAGTGGCTCTGACTGAAGACATGTTTGTATTAACTAAATCTATGGAATCTATGTCCAGCACTTTAAATTCTCAGCTGCTGCTGGTAGAGAAAAGAGAAGAAAGGAATTGAAAGAGTCCCATTAGGTGGCATCCCCTCTGAACGATCCACACATCACAGAGTTGACCCAGATAATTTATCACATTGGCAGCACCTGTGCTATTGGACCAATGCTCTCTAGAGAGTAAAATCCAGGTGACATTTGTCTTTATATGCACCATTACGTCCCCAACTCACTTTCATCTTGCTTTTGGAATTGACTCTCCTTCCATTTTCTTCATGTTAACATTTAACTGCCATGATTAATATGCTGTGATAGCTTTCCCTCTCATCCTGACAGGTGCTATGACAGGGTATATGCAAAGCCCCAGGTAGCCGTTCTTCAGAGCTGATCATGTAAGAGGCTCTAAATCAGTGATGGCGAATCTTTTAGAGCTTTCATTGACACAAACAGCCCACTATGGCATTATACTGTAGTGGCATACCACCACTGCTCTACATTATTTGACAGTTAAGCCATCATATTATTCCTACATAACTGTGCCCTCATACATTTGCCACCTGCAGAAAACAAGAGACAACAATATACTTGCACACTTAAATCTTTCCGTATTAAATGTAGTCCATCCCAAGCAGCACAACCACTGACCACCTCTAATATACAAAGACAGACACACAGGTGCCTATAGGCTTTGAGGATGGCTTTGCCTCACCCTTTCAGGCAACTGGTTTATTGCTTACCCAGCTGTCTTGGCAAATGATAAATTGGTTTGGCTCTATTCTGTTCCTTCCACTTCTCCAGGCTGGCCAGCTCTTGCTCAGCAACTGAACAGGTGAGAAATATCAAATCATCAAGTATTAGAATTTGGAAAGAAAATAGGACACTTTAAAGCATCATCAGAGGGCAATTAACTACCTGCTAGCATAAGCAGACAAGAGGTCCAGGAAAAGATATTGTACCTTCTAGCTCTAACCTTTTGGGATCACCCTGCACCTACCCAAAACACTAAATGTCTGCACAGAGCATTCAAAGTTGAAAAACAAGCTGAACTCTTAATTTTAAAAAGGGAGTATAGTTTTTTCCCCCATTTAGGCATTCTTAAAACTCTAATCAAGTTAATTCTAAAGGTTTCCTATAGAAAATGTGTGCAAAACTATGATATTCCTGTCATCAGCAATACACACAGCTAATTAATTATACAGGAAGCAGGACTCACTGCCCAGACCTTCACTCTTCACAACAACAGAGGGCATTAAGGAGATACTACTGCTGTTCCCCCGGCACATGCCCTCATCTCCAGGTTAGACCTCATTGTTCCAAAGTCCACTCACGAAATATTTTAATTATGAAGGAAGGGGGATTCTGAAATATCTCAAGACCAAGACCACACTGAGACTTAAATTCTTTGGAGTTCTGTTGGTCAACTACCTGCAATTGCCACAACCACTGCAAAGCTGTGACCATCATATTCTGAACTGACCCATTCTGCCACCAAGGTGGGTAGCAATCTGGTGGGAACCTTTTAGATGGTTGCTTTGCTGTAAAACCTTTAAGTTTATCATTAGTTACAAAATGAAATTTCCTGCCAATGATGTAGTAAGACAGAGCATAGAATTTCAGTACCAGCACTGCAGCTTGACCTGAAGAAGTCTCACAATTTCCCTTGTAAACTAAATGAACCTTAGCTCTCTCTGCAACTAAAAGATAATGCCGTAACTTTAGACAGCAGCATTTATATATACTGTACTTTATGTAAACATGTTTTACACACACTAAATATAAGGAGCACACAAAAGAGTAAAATGTGGTCCCTGTCCTTCAGGAGCTTATAATCTAGTGAAGAAAACTGAGTTACACAGACAAAAACAGCAAAGGATAAATTGACAGTTTCAAAATTATGAGAGGTCAGATGCCATGGAAAAATTCCACTGAGGAGAGATGAGACAAACCAAGAAAAGTATAAATTATTTCATGATCTATTTGGTATAACACTTTTCAGTTTTAAAAGAATTCATAGTGTCATTAAAATATCAGCTGTCAGCCAAAATGTAAAGGGATGAGACTCATCTATGGGCAATAAGTTGTTTTAATCCAACAAAAATCCAAGATTTATAATCACACCATGAGTTCTGTTACTGATATGGGGGGGTGGTCCCTGGGGATCTAATTCAGGACCTTGAGCTTGTGAGGCAGGTCGCGGCACACTGAGCTAAATCCCTGGCCCTGGAGAAATAAATTTATAAAGTGCTAACTATAGAATTTATCTTTTTTAGCTTATTACTACATTAGTGCAGTACATGTTTGCATTCCTAGTAGGAAGTTGGTACACGTACATAACACATCTTAATTGCTTTGTTCATACCTCTTCCCTTCCCTCCCTTCTCCTTCCACCTATCCCTAGATCTTGTTTTTTTTTTTTTGTACATGTTTTTGGAGTATATAACATTTATCCTTGTGTAGAGTTGGTACACATGCAAACACATCCCAGTTCCTTTTTTTTTTAATCCCTTATACCTTCCTTCCCTCCCATCTCTTGATCCTCCTCCCCTTTGAGAACAACCTGTCTCCCTACTTGTTATGATAAGGTATAACAAAAACTACTAAAGTTTAAGAAAAAGGACCTTGATGAGCTCTGGTAAATTTGTATCAATCAGAAATGAAAATACTTCAGACTAAAACAAGCCAATTTTAACGAAAATGAGAAGCACTTTGAATGTTAAATGAGCAAATATACGTACTCCTTTGTATCTGTTGTCTCCGAGTTTCATTTGGTGCTATCAAGGTATATGCACCTGTGCTAGAATGAAGAGGAAAAATTATTATCTGAGAAATCACTAATGCACAGATTCCCACCATCAAATAGGTACCATAGAAGATAATCTCTTGAAGGATCCAGTTCTTTTCTCTAAGACTTTACAATCTAGCTGTCAGTGTGAGACAATGGACACAATGAAATATGGAAATATGAGTAAAGTGACAAGTTTTTTTTTTTTTTTTTTTGGAACTGGGGATTGAACTCTGGTTCTTGCACTTGCAAAGAAGGCAGTAGAAATACTGAGCTAAATCCCCAGCCTGATAACTTCTTGATAGAGCTGCTTCTTCACTGGTTCTTGGTAGACTATCCTTGTAGGGCTCTGTTGTTCATCTAGGTGGCTCTTGTAGATAAATCCCTGTAAGATTGCCCTTCTCTTCCCTGTGATGCACATTCAGAAAACAGGAAATTCTGGTCTGTTCTTGGTTCCCACAAACTGAAAGTATAGGCCATTTGCAGTGCAGGTACTTCCTCATGATGACCCACCCAAGAAGCCAGCTATCTATAATCTTGTGACTTTTATAAACCTGGGTCCACTGAGTTCCTCTTTCTCCCAAAGATACAGGTTGAGCATAGTGCTCAGAGAAGTAAGGTGTTCCTTCAAAATAGGGCTCAGGGAAGAGTTCATTTAAGCAATTATATTCAACACTAAATCATCAAGATGCCATTAAAATAGTGTAAGCCTTTGAGGACAGAATCGATGCTTCCTTGCTGTGTATTCCAGGTATGTGGACCAGTGCTTGGCACAAAGTAGTTGCATGATGAAATGTGGGCTGAACTGAAATAAAACAAATGCCATGGATCCAGTCAACAAGTCTGGCTGAGGGCAGCTCTTCTTTGAGCTGATACATCTGGTCCCACAAGAGCAAAAATATAGCACAGCCACAGACTATAGCATGCATGTATATACAGTTTTAAAGGAAATGTTGTGAATATACACAACCAGCTGAAAACTGTAGGTTTTTTTTTTTTAAGAAAAAAACAAAAAAGAACAGATACCCAACAGTCTCTGCAATCTGTAATGCACAAATTTCAAAGGGCATATTTACCAACACTGAGGCCAAAAGTGTTATTAACAGAAGCCATTTCTTCCTTACCTCATTATTTTCCTAGCAGTGAGCCTTTTGCCAACTTCAGACTGGGCTTCGATTTTAGACTTGTAAATGTGAGGTATGCATCCACCTTTGCATGCAAATGGGATGCTGGATGCCCAATTACTTCATGTATATCAGCAGACCTTGCGTGTGTAGCCTAGCATGCATACAACGTTATGAATGCTAAATTAGATGACTGACACTGTAAATTAATCCCTTATCCATTACATATTCTTTGTTCACCATAAGACTTTTCACTTCTCAATTGCCAGTGCTTTATAGGAATTTGGGGTCTGCAGTTCTGTGGCAGTACCTGGAAACTTGAATATTATGCAACAGTGAGCCATTGTACAGAGCCTTAAAGTTGAAATATGAGATACTGGATTTAAATACCACCCATAACATTGCTGCTTGACCTTTAGTGTCTGCTAGGCTATGGTTCAGAGCTTCTCACTCACTGTCATAGGGATTTGCCTATCATGATCAGCAGTCCTTACTTATCACTAGGAGGGCTGGGGGCAGATCTGTTAAAGGACAAAAGTTTCTGACTTAGTAGCTCTGGGTTGAAGTTCAATAATACGTATTTTTAACAAGGGAAAAGGGATATTGATATTCTTGATCTACATACCATACTTGAAGAACCACTGCTATAGATCAGTCATGCTGCCTGCTCTAGTTCAAATATGTAGTTCAGAACTCATGTGATGGCTTGGTCCCCAGGGTAATAGTGTTGAGAGATGGGTAGGCCTTTAAGAAACATTGTGGGTTGTGGGGTCACCACGTTTAGAAGGAATTAAGATTCCTCACAAGATTTGACTTGTTGAGAGTTTTACAGAGTGAAGCCAACCATATGCTTTGTCTTTGGCACATGTCTGTTTCCCTTTCCACTTCTACACTATCTTATGATACAGTCAAGGGGCCCATTTGGACTTTCCTGCCACTAGAATCACAAGCCAATAAAAATACCTCTTTTTAAAAGTATTACCCAGCATCATGTGTTCTTTTATAGCAACACAAAGACACTATCTTAGGACATGTTGGGAACTTGGGGATTAATAAACCTTTTTTTTTTTTCTTTTTGGTACTGGGGATTAAACTCTTAGGCCCTTGTTCTTGCGAGGCAGGCACCAGAACCACTGAGCTAAATGCCCAGCCTGGTGCAATTTAGATTTTTTTTCAAGAGGTTTTTTTTTTTAATTGAGTTCATTGGTACATTTTAGATATACAATACAGTTACATTCATTATTGGGATCTTGTACCTTTACATGACAGGTCTTGGTTCTCATTTTTTCCCCTTGTCCAAGAGTTTTTAAAAAGTGCTTTCCCAAGAACTTTCCAAGCCCATAGATCTGTTTATGAAAATTTTATAAAGGTGGGAAGAAAACACTTTTTTATAAAAGATTGTATAAACTACAATACTTAAATCTAATTCAGTTTAAACCTTACATTATACTACTAGAATCTGTTGCTAGCAGATGACATGAGATTACTGGGTCTAAGACAACGGACTATATTACTTATAGAACAGCAAGCAGCATGAGCATCAGCTCATTTACATTTGTTCTCCCTGGTCCCAATTCTTATGAGGTCAGTCTTAGGAATAGGACTACACTTGCTCTCTAGCCACTGTGTGTGAGCAACAGGCACCCAAACAAAGTACAGGGACAGGAAAAAAGAAAAAGACTGTCTTAGTTACTTTTCTCATTGCTGAGACAAAATATCCAACACCCCAAAGTCAAAGAGGAAAAGGTTTATTTTGGCTCAATATTTGTAGAGGTTTCAGTCACCAATTAGCTGGATCCAAGGCAAGTGGTATGGTAGAGAAGCAACACAGAGAAGATACAGTTCATGGCAAACAGAAGGCTGCAAAAGCCCAAGCAGCAAGCAACAAAGTAGCAAAGAAACAAGAAGCAGGGACAACAGGAGGCCTCTTATACCCGTATATTGTATCTAGGCTATCCCACCCTAGCACTCACACTTAGGCTGGAGCAGGCTTGATACTAGCATCACACCATGAATCAATCCCAGTATTCCACCCTTGATCCAAGAATCACACACACTCTAGATCCAGTCACCTCCAAAAAGCTGCATAAGGCTTTTGGGGGGATATCTAGATGCAAGCCATAACCTAGACTTTCCTAGCGTTGAAATCGGAGGTTTTTAATCAAAAACATTTTAGCATAACCATAACAGTGGTCCTAGCAATACATGTTTTATGTTGGAGAATTCCTCAGTAACTCTCTCAGCAATATTTTACTGGTCAAAATGTCAAATCTAAAACGTTTTATAATATCCACAAGGAGACATTGCCAAGTAATTTAACTTTTATTCCTCTTACTTATAATAGGAAAAGCAGCTTAGATCTAAAGCTATGCTTTTTATTTTTAATATCATGTGGCACAGTGTAATGCCTTGATAGGTAAAAATATTAATCCCTTCTCTCTTAGCTGTTTCTTGACATGACTAGCAAGTGTAATTTATTAATGTTTTCAGCCAATTAGTTTCCACTCACAGCAAAGGCTTTTGTCATTTTAACCTCCATGGCTTTTCTTTCAACAGGCTGACTCCTAAACCGCTCATCTGGACAGGAATAAGCTAACCAGATTAAGCATTCTGGTCATTTCCTGATTAAGCAATATTCAAGCTACTGAAACAAATATATATTTTTGAAAATGAGTTTCCTTAATTATCTTATTGAAATTTAATGAAATATCTCAATTGGTAAGATTCTTTTCACTTCTTAACAGCACACATCTGTGAGATAAACTAAAGGAGACCATAGGAAAGAACAGCCCACGACAAAGAAAAATGTCTTTCTCTACCATGATAAAAAAAGAAAAATATAGTATGTAAGACACATTTCCCTGTGAGGGCTCTCTGATTTACACAAGTGCATTTCACAGTTACCTTCTTGCACAATTTTTATAACACCTCATCAATAAGCACTCTATGAAAAAATGTTATGCTGAAGTTATGAAAAATATCTTGGCTGCCTAAAAGTATTACATAAATATATCCCCTGGTGTGTACAAACTGCACCAGATGTAATTTAAATTTATAATTAGAAACAACTCTGGTTTGACTGAAAAAGAAATCTGAAGTCAAGAGAAAAATTCAGAAAGAGGTAGACAAGTTAGAAATAATTTCAAACAGAATAGGAGAAAAATGTAGTCTGCTGTTATACAAAATAGTGGCTTGATGTTTGTCTTAGCTCAAGAAAATCTTATTCTTGTGTATATATAAATTGAAAAGCTAAGACTTAGGGGTATTCAAAAGTATTGGATTTTTTGTAATATGAAATCCTATATTGGCATATGTTATACAAACTCTAACAAACGAATCTGAAGCGTATTGTTTTCAGTCAACGTGAGTAAAAACTTTTGAGGCATTTAGGACTCCAAAAATTATTTTTCAAACAAACTAAATTCCCAAGCAAAACAAAAACAAGATCAGGCTAAGTCATCCTTGGCCTCAAGCATGTTATACCAGCTCTGATCTGGCATTTGACATCTCAGGTATAAAGGGATAAACCTCTTTGGTTTTAGAGCATGAAGAGAACAAAATATTGTTCACACACCCAAGGAGGAGATGTAAAGTTGCTAAGTTCTTTCTTCAGCATAATCCATAGCTTGTGTTAGAAGGAAATAGACAGAAATAGACACCCAGAGGGTAAAGATAAGCAAAGAGAGATTGCCAGGGCCTTTGTTTATAGGATGCCTTTATGGAAATAAGTGTGTGTATATGTGTGGTGTGTACACGCATGCATACAGACATTTCAAAAATCCCCATATCTTAGTAAGATATCATAAAGTAGTGCAAACTATAAAAATGTGCACTTTCATTCAGATGGAGTTGGCCCCACATTAGGGCATATATTTTAGCTTTAAATTA